TCTTCCTCCACCTTCCCCTATTCCCACTCTTAGTTTTTACTAAGCTCTATCCTCATTGAACTTTATACACACAAGATTAACCTTACACTAAGAGTTCAGAGTATGAAAAAAATTTGTTCCTCAACAGTCAAGACAAAGGCTTTTCAAAGTCATCAGATCTTAAAGTGTCAATTTCATTTCTATAGATTAACTTTTAGGCACGCTATTAGTTACCATACATTAGGGAATATATATGGTCATTGTCATTTTGTTACTGGCTTATTTCATGAATTATAACATATTCCAGTCGCATCCATGTTGTTCCAAATGACAGAATTTCATTTTTTTTTAAATGGGTAGTATTCCACCATATACAAGTACCATAATTTCTTTATCCAGTCTTAAGTTGACATCTGGGTTGATTCCATATCTTAGTTATTGTGAATTGAACTACAATAAATATTGGGGTACAGATAATTTTTTCATAGGCTGATCTCATATCCTTTGGGTAAGTTCCCAAGAGTGGAATGGCTGGGTCATTTGGTAGGTCTATATTCTGATTTCTGAGGTATCTCTACACTATCTTCTACAGTGGCTATATTAGTTTACATTCCCACCAACAGTGGATTAGGGTACCTTTTCCCTCACATCCTTGCCAGCATTGTTGTTTGTTGATGTCTGTATGAAAGCCATCCTAATGGGGGTAAAGTGAAACCTCACCGTGTTGATTTGCATTTCCCTGATGGCTAGTAATCCTGAACATTTTTTATGTGTCTGGCCATTTTGATTTCCTCTTTTTAAAAAATGCCTGTTCAAGTCCTTAACCCATTTCATAACTGGGTTATTTGTTGTTGAATTTCTTGATTAATGGGTTATAGATATTAATCCTTTACCCGTTGAATAGTTTGCAAATATTTTCTCCCATTCTGTTGATTGCCTCTTCACTTTACTGAGTGTTTCTTTTCAGTGCAGAAGCTTCTCAATTTGATGTAGTCCCATTTGTAAATTTTAGCCGTGATTGTGCTTCTGGGGTCTTTTCCAATGTCTTGCAGAGTTTTTCTCATATTCTCTATTAATTTCATGGTATCTGATTTTTTTTGTAAGGTGTAAGGTAGAGGTCTTGTTTCATACTCCTGCATGTGGAGATCCAGTTTCCCCAGCACCATTTGTTGAAGGGACTGTCCTTTCTCCAGGGATTCATTTTAGCTCCTCTGTCAAAGATAAGTTGGTTATAGGTGTGCAGATTGATTTCTGGAGTTTCTGTTCTTTTCCATTGCTCTTTCCATCTGTTTTTGTGCTACTATCAGGCTGCTTTGATTATAACTGCCCTGCAGTACGTCTTTAAGAGATTTATTTATTTATTTATTTATTTGAGAGGCAGAGGTGGAGGCAGAGAAAGAGAGTGAGTGAGTCTTCCCTCCACTGGTTCTTCCCAAGATGGCCACAATGGCCGGAGATGAACCAGCCCAAAGCCTGGAGCTTCCTCCAAGGACTTAAGCCATCTTCTACTGCTTTCCCAGGCCATAGCAGAGAGGTGGATCAGAGGTGGAGCAGCTAGGACTCGGACTGGCACCCATTTGGGATGCCAGCACTGCAGATGGAGGCTTTATCCCCTACACCACAGCACTAGCCCCCTGGAGTATGTCTTGAAAACTGGTATTGTGATGCTTCTGGCTTTGTTTTTGTTGTATAAAATTTCTTAGCTATTCAGGGTCTCTTGTGTTCCCATATAAATTTCAGCACCTTTTTTTCTAGATCTGAGAAGAATGTTCTTGATATTTTGATTGGTATCATATTGATTCTGTAAATTGCTTTTGGATGTTTGGACATTTTAATGATACTAATTCTTCCATCCATGAACATGAAAGATTTTTCCATTTTTGTGTCTTGTTCTATTTCTTTCTTTAATGTTTTGTAAATTTCATCAGAGATATCTTTGATATCCTTGGTTAAATTTAGACCAAGTTATTTAATTCTATTTTAGCTATTATGAATGGGATTGATCTTAGAAGCTCTTTCTAAGCCATGACATTGTCTGTGCATACCAAAGTTACTGATTTTTGTGTGTAGACTATATCCTTCAACTTTCTGTACTCTTTTATGAGTTCCAATTAACTCTCAGTGGAGTCTTTTGGATCATTTCTATATAGAATCATATCATCTGAATAGGGATAGTCTGATTTCCTCCTCCCCAATTTGTATCCCTTTGATTATTTTTTCTTTCCTAATGCTCTAAAACTTCCAAGAATATATTGAACAGTAATGATGAGAGTCGGCATACTCTTCTGGCTCCAGGTTTTAGTGGGAATGCTTTCAACTTTTCCCCATTCAATATTTTGCTGGCCGTGGGTTGTGATAAATATCCTGGATTGTGTTGATATATGTTCGTTCTCTACCCAATTTACTTAAGATTTTCATCATGAAAGGGTGTTGTATTCTATCAAATGCTTTCTTTGCATCTATTGAGATAATCATATGGTATTTGTTCTTCAGTTTGTTAATGTGATCTGTCACATTTATTGATTTACGAATGTTGAACTATACCTGCATATCAGGGATAAATCCCACTTATTCTGGGTTAATGATCTTTCTGATGTGTTGTTGGATTCAGTTGGCTACTACGTTGCTCAGGATTTTTGTGTCTATGTTTATCAGGGAAATTGGTCTATAGTTCTCTTTCTCTGTTGTATCGTTTTCTGGTTTAGGAACTAAGATGATGCTGGCTTCATAGTAGGAGTTTGGGAGGATTCCCTTCCATTCAATCATTTTGAATAGCTTGAGAAGAAGTGGAGTTAGTTATTGTAGAATTCAACAGTGAAGCCATGTAGTCCTGGGGTTTTCTTTGTTGGGAGGGTCTTCATTACTGATTTAATTTCTGTCTTGGTTATTGGTCTGTTTTGGTTTTCTGTGTCTTCATGGCTCAATTTAGGTAGGTTGCATGTGTCCAGGAATCTGTCCATTTCTTCTAGGTGTCCTAGTTTATTGGCATAGTGATATTTGTAGTAATTCCTGATGATTCTTTTTATTTCTGTGGTATCTTTTCTTATGTTCCTTTTGCACATCTAATTTTATTGATTTGGGTCTTCTCCCTCTTTTCTTGGTTAGTTGGGCCAATGGTGTATCAATTCTTATTTTTTTTCAAAAAACCAGCTCTTCGTTTTGCTGATCTTTTTTTTTTTGTTTCAATTTTATTTTTCTGGTCTGGTTGACCTGTCCATTGCTGAAAGTGGGGTATTGAAGTTCCCCATTACTACTGTATCATAGTCTAAGTCTCTCTGTATTTCCATTAACAATTCTTTTAAATAGACAGGTACACTGTAATTGGTTGCATGTATGTTTATTATAGTCACATCTTCCTGTCAAAGTTATCCCTTATTCATTACATAATGCTCTTATTTGTCTCTTTTAATGTTTTCTTATGTTAAAGTCTGTTTTTCTTAATATTAGGATGGCTACACCAGCTCGATTCTGGTTTCAGGTAGCATGGAGTTCCTTTTTCCATCCTATCACTTTCAGTCAGTGGCTATCTTTGTTGTTGACAACCAATAGATGGATCTTATTTTTTAATCCATTCTGCCAGCCTGTATCTATTCACTGAAGAGTTGAGACAATTTACATTCAAGGTGACTATTGATAAGTAACGACTTGTCCCTGCCATTTTTCCATAAATATTCCTATTGTTTATTTTGAATTTCCTTTGTACTTTTACTAGGAGATTTTTTGCCTTCATATTCTTTCATACTGATGAACATGTTTCTATGTTTTTGCCTGCAACAAATCCCTAAACATCTTTTGTAAGGACAAGTGATGACAAATTCTTTCAATAGGTCTTTATTTCACCTTCAGTCATAAATGAGAGCTTTGAATATAGTATTCTGGGTTGACATTTTTTTTTTTACTTTTAAGGCTTGGATTATATCTTGCCATTATAAACTTCTCAGTTGCTCAAATACAAGGTCAAGAATAAAGTTGAATGCAGCCATGTGCCACATATCAACAAATCATGTATATGGTGGTGGTGCCATAAGGTTATATCCCTAGTGATGTCATAGTCATCTTAATTTTAATTATACCATCTGCTGTACACACATTAATGATGTAATCACTTAATGATCCTTTCATCAGAATGAGTACCCATGTTAACTGATATATACCTGTATATCAATATTGTACTATCTTCTCATCTTATTTCTCTACACATTTGACCTCTTGTGCTTTTCAATTGAGGTAACAATTCATACACTGACTGTTTGCCTGTGAAAACACCTTCTTTTATTCATTGAGACAAGTTCTTTAGGCTTTAAATCAACCCAAAATGAAGCCAGGGGGTAAGATTATAGACAGTGTTTGAGAACTAGTGAGTCCCCATAAATCTCACCTTGGAAAAGATGACTTGAGCAATCTACAGGGAAAGCCAATCCTAGAGAATACATTAAGCTCTTGGCTCACAAAGGTAAATGACCATTAAAATTTTAAAATATTAATGGAGGAGAAGGATTTAAATTAGCAGTTAAGATGGCCATTAAATGCCTGTACCCCATATTGGGTTATATGTATTTGATACCTGGCTCCCGCTCATGACTCCAGCTTCCTGCTAATGTACGCTCTGGGAAGCAGCAGTGATGACTCAAGTAAATGGGTTCCTGCCACCTATGTAGAACACCTGAAATGAGTTCTTGGCTTCTGGCTTTGGCCAGGCCCAGTCCTTGTCATTCCAAGCATTTGGGGAGTGAACCAGTGGATGAGAATTCTATCTCCCTGCCTCTCTATAAATAAATAAATAAATAAAAAGGATTTTGATAAAGTTTTATTTCACCATGAATTTGTTCCATTTAACTGTTCTGTGTTCTACATTGGGTTACAAAATGTATTATCCTAAGACATGAGAACTAAATTGATAAGAAATGTTGCTTAGCATTTCCTTTGTTTTGTTTGAAGGAGAGCTATGGATATTGCAGTAAGAATTTGGGAAATACAGAGGACTAAAAAATTAACCACATTTTCCTTTGTTATTCTCCTAGGGTCTCATGATTCCTTCAGTTTCTACATTGATGAAGCCTCTCCAGTAGGTCCTGAACAGCCAGAAACTGTCCAGAATTTTGTCTCTGTGTTTGGAACTGTGGCCAAAAAGCTGATGCGGAAATGGCTAGCCACTCAAACAATGAACTTTACTGGTCAGCTAGGAGCTGGAATCCGTTATTTTGATCTTCGAATTTCCACCAAGCCCCGAGATCCCGACAATGAACTCTACTTTGCACATGGTTTGTTCAGTGCCAAAGTCAATGAAGGCCTCGAGGAGATCAATGCATTCCTCACAGATCACCATAAGGAAGTAGTATTCTTGGACTTCAACCATTTTTATGGGATGCAGAAATATCACCATGAAAAACTGGTCCAAATGCTGAAAGACATCTATGGTAACAAAATGTGCCCAGCGATTTTCGCCCAGGAAGTTAGTTTAAAGTACCTGTGGGAGAAGGACTATCAAGTGCTGGTCTTCTACCATAGTCCAGTGGCTCTGGAGGTCCCCTTTCTGTGGCCTGGGCAGATGATGCCAGCACCCTGGGCCAACACCACAGACCCTGAAAAGCTGATCCAGTTTCTTCAGGCATCCATCACAGAGAGAAGAAAGAAGGGCTCATTTTTTATATCTCAGGTGGTGCTGACCCCCAAAGCTAGCACCGTGGTCAAAGGTGTGGCAAGTGGCCTCAGAGAAACAATCACAGAGCGGTAAGTGTCCTCCCAGTATTGGGAGAAAAGTCCCCATAAGTCGATTGAAATGCTTACAGCTAGTAAGTGATAGAGCTGAGGTTCCTATCTGTGTATCCTAGTTCCCTTGGGATGCCATAGCAAAATAGCACAGACCAGGTGCTTGAAACTATGTAACTGTATGATCTCACAGTTAGGGACACTGGAAGTCTGAAATCAAGATGTCAGCAGTGTTTATTCCTCCTGAGGACTCTGAGGCAGGATCTGTTCTGTGCCTCGCCTACTCTCTGCTGATAGCTGACAATGCTTGGTGTTCCTCATCTTGTAGGTGCAACATTTCATTATCTGCCTTCCTTTTTCTCGCGTCACTCTGTCTCCTCTTCTTTTATCTGGATCCCAGTTCTTTTTTGATTGGAACCCACCTGAAAGATACCACCTTAACTTGATTATTGGAGAAAAGACCATATTCCCAACTATCCTATTTGTAAGTACAGGGATAGGACTTTAATAAATACTTCCTAGAACAGAGATCATTCCATAACAGTATTTTGAGTCTACATCTATTTCTCTTCTCATAGTACTCTTATTCACAATTATGTTGTGCCTCATTGATTATAAATCCCTCTGTACTGTTTGCAGAATCCTTTTGTACATTAATTCTTTGATCTGTATAACAATCCTGAGAAGTAGATGCTATCTTACAGATTTAAAAAATGAGGTTAAGCAAGTTAAATGTTTTGGCTAAGACCCCTTCAATTATGAATGATGAAACAGAAACTTGAACTCCATCCTGAAGTCACTTCCTGTGTCTTTGATACTACTTTTGTTGCTCTATAATGAAGGCTCTAGAAAGTGAGCAATCCATTGGTAAAGTCTAGCCAATCATTTACCCACAGGGCATAATTTTAGCAATTCTCAAAGATCTCTGACTCTTTCCTATGAGTGTGATGCAGATACAAAATAGTACATATTAATTATTCTTTTAAGTTGTAGCATAGGCAATTCAAATATCATTTAGAGAGAGAAAACAAATTCTTTGCAGGCTAACACTTATTTTTAATTGATATTTTGAATTATTATAAAGAGAGCATAAATGTTTGGATCCAATGTCTTGGCAGGGAAAGACAAGAAAATGAGAAGGGAGTTGGAGGTAAAAATGGTACAGGTGACTTTCTACAAATGTAGTGTGGGGAATAACAGAAGCAGAAACTTGCAGTGGGAATAAGAAAACACTTGGAAGAAACCTTTAAGCCTGGCTACAGAGAACTTGGCAATGGTGAGCTAGATAATGATGTCTAACATTTAGAGTGACTTCATCAGCACTGAGTAATGATTGATTCAGCCTGAAGAATAGATGGAGTGGAGAAAGTGAATAATTAACAGGTGCTATCTTGAATCACTGTGTTTGGGTGACATTGACATCTGATGTTGTTTGTAACCCTTGCCTGTGTTCCTGTCTTTTTGCTTTTTGTTCATTGAACTCTCTATTTAGTAGAGCATTATGCTTTTTGAGTATAATGCAAATTAAAAGTGTTATCTCAAAAAAAATAAAAAGTTCCAAGATTTTTTAAAAAATGAGCTTGAGACTGAGGAAGTGAGAAAACTTAGAAGAGGATGATATGCAAACAGTGAAAATTAGGATTATTTAGTGATTAGTTAGCTATGTGATGTAAATGGGGAAAAGAGTTAAAGGTAAGATATCAGAAGTAGAAGAGATAATGGAGGTGTTTACAGAGGTGGGGAAAAAAGTTGCAGGAACTTGGGGAAGAAGTAGGGAAGATACAATTAGGCTAATAATGAATTTAAAGTTCCAAGGGACTATAGCCATTCAATCATTAGGAATATAAGTCGCATCATTTGGAGGCTACTGGAATTGTAACAGGTAGTAAAAGTCACAAGTCATGGGAGTGGAATATTATCAAGACTTCCTTATGTTATTCAAATATTAGCTGGGACCTCTGTTTCTTTTTTTTTTTTTCTTTCGTTTGGTATGTCTACTCTAGACAGGCAGAGTGGACAGTGAGAGAGAGAGACAGAGAGAAAGGTTTTGCTTTTCCGTTGGTTCACCCCCCAATGGCTGCTGTGGCCAGTGTGCTGCGTCGATCTGAAGCCAGGAGCCAGGTACTTATCCTGGTCTCCCATGGGGTGCAGAGCCCAAGGACTTGGGCCATCCTCCACTGCACTCCCGGGCCACAGCAGAGAGCTGGACTGGAAGAGGGGCAACCGGGACAGAATCCGGTGCCCCAACCAGGACTAGAACCCGGTGTGCCGGCGCCGCAGGTGGAGGATTAGCCTATTGAGCTGCGGCGCCAGACCTCTGTTTCTTAAGATTTAGGGGCCGGCGCCGTGGCTCACTTAGCTAATCCTCTGCCTGCGGTGCCGGCATCCCATGTGGGTGCCGGCTTTTCATCCTGGTTGCTCCTCTTCCAGTCCAGCTCTCTGCTGTGGCCTGGGAAGGCAGTGGAGGATGGCCCAAGTGTTTGGGCGCCAACACCAGTGTTGGAGACCAGGAAGAAGTACCTGGCTCCTGGTTTCGGATCAGCGTAGCTCTGGCTATGGCAGCCATTTCAGGGGTGAACCAACGGAAGGAAGACCTTTCTCTCTGTCTTTCTCTCTGTCTCTCTCTTTTACTGTCTAACTCTATCTGTCAAATAAATAAAAAAAAAATTAAAAAAATATTTAAATATGATTGCCTCCCCTTTGTTGTATACCCTACATGAATACAAGGCTCTCCCCGTGATTTCTATTAATGGTTGTTGCATTCTTATGGTGTGAGCCTCCCTACTGTTGGATTATGTTGTGGGTCACTTGTCTCCTGGGATCTGGCTATGTCTCATTCTGAGACACGGAACATGTTGCAGGCCCAGTTTCGTCAGTAGTTTCAGACTTTACTGAAGATCTGAGAGACAAGGAAGATGATATAATCACAGTAATGTAGGCGATTTATGATTAAATTTCAGACTTGTCTATTAAAATCCTCTGGCCTTGGTATATTCCCACAAGTTTGTATCACATCCTCCGACTGACACTCCTCCTCCTCTTCCTTTTCCTTTTCTCATTTTTTCCCTTACCCTATGCTCAGATTTTCTTAGACACTGCATTCTTCTGTAGATTCTTATGCCTAACTATCTAGTTCTACACAGGCTCCCAAGCCCTAAATCAGTAACCTCAAAAGATTCATCAAAACAAGAAGGCTTTTTGTATAGTAACACTTTGTACAAACGGTAATTGTTCTGGTAAATAACACTTCACTCCTTCTCCCATAAGCTCAGAAAATGCACACCTAAGAATATGCTGTTAACGGGACCCAAAAGAGCTCTCAAATTTTGAGGAATCCCCGAAGGCCTGCTAGAGGTCAAAAGAGGCAGGAAAAACCCACAGAAGAGCTGAATCCAGTGCTCTCCTTTCTCTCTATGCCTCGAGTAAAAAAAGCTTCATTTTTAACTTCTCTGCATTGAGCATAATGTGAAGGCCTCTTTCATCTTCACCATTCTTCTGTGTAGTTCTGTGTTTAGGAAAACCTTTATCCATATTAGAGGCCTGCTTTGCACTCTGGCCAAGAACTGCGTTCTGATTTTACCTGGGTACAGACCAGCCTATGAGAAGCCAAGAAGAAATATCCAATGAAGGAATAATCGGTTTTCATTTCTGTCTGTTACAGTGTTATATGTACTTTGGGAACTTGCTAAACTGTGTTTGGGTTGTTTTTGCTCTAGTATATTACTATTAAAGTAGGATTTGTGGGGAATGAAATAAATCAAGAAAGTGCGAAAAATTATGTTCTAGACAACTCTCCCAAAAGATTCATAATGCTTATTAGCATATAAAAGACACTACCGAGTATTTTAGTGAAGAATCTTGTTTAAATGTAACTAATATAATGTTTTCCCAGCACTCATTTTTTTTTCTAATCACACTTATTAAAAGCCCATAAATTAATTTTGGAAAACTGTGTTCAGCCATCTGCTCTTATTCCAACCTTCTCATATGCCTCTAACTTATATATCCATAACATACAGTTGTATCACTGAAAACAGAAAGAGAAATAGCAGGGGGAAGGGGAAATAGAAAAGTAGAACCCAAAACCCTATAGTTGAAATCAATTTTTCCTCTCTAGGATTATTCAAACTACTTGTAAATGATTTGCAAATCTATCTAAAACTTATTGTACTTGTTCTTGTGCTAGAAGCATTCTCCAGTGGAGTTTAGTCTCTGAAATATTAGATGGATCTGCTGCTTAAGCATTTTCAAAACCATATTCTGAAGGTGGTGTTAATGTGAAGCTCAGGATTTTTGTTTTATTTTTACATATTCCAGCCTCCTGGCATGGCCTATAGGAAAAAGTCATTGTCAGCTGTTGGAGCTTGCTTTGCAAAGGCAATTTCCTTACCTCTGAAAGAGGCATTTAACTCCTCCAGAGCTTGTTGCTTTTCTAATCTTAGCAAGTGATGAAATCTACCAACTGGGCTGAGTCTGCCATTGTCCTCTGGGCTTTTGTACCAATGCCATTCATTTAGAAAGTCCTATAATGGCACCAAAAGAAGTAATGAGCAACCCTGGACCAGCTAAGAAAAAGTCACCAGACAGTTGCAAGACCTCTCTGAACTTTAATATTTTCATCTGCAAAATCTGAAGTTAGAACGAGATTATCTTCAATATCCATTCCACTTACTAAATTCCACAATTCTAAGATCTTGAATTTGATTAAATAATCATGTCTAATATTTGGGCTAACAAAACTCTGAGCATAGGCATTTAGAAAATGATGTTTGCCATCGTGGGTGGCTTTCAGGGAAACTAAACTCATCCTGGATTTAGGTACCACAGCTTTCAATCTGGCTATTGCTTCCAAATATTGCAGATGTGTTTTCTACATGTTAGTAATGCCAAAAGACACAGATTTTTATTTCTTAAAGATCTATTTTTAATTTATTTTTCAAATACCAGCTTTTGCACCTCACCCCCACGGAATTCACACATTCTTAAAAAGAAGGTGTGTGACTTATGTCAAGTCCTTCCCT